CTACTACACTGAGTGGAATCAAGCTAAAAATACGTCTAGTGTCTGATAAGAACGCCAGCCTCTTGAAGCTCTCATTTAACATCGGACTTTCTGTTTTGCTTTTAAAGAAAAATGTTTTACAAGGACAGCATGAAGCGGACAAAATCTGGAGCAAAGAAGGATTTTATGCTGTTGTCATCTTTCTCAGCATCTTCATTATCATAGTAACGTGTTTGATGGTAAGTTTGCTCCTTTGTATATCTTACCCTTTACTGAGCCCACTGCTTAATAGTATTGAATACATTGCCATTCGAAAGAATGTTGAAAAGACTGGGAACTGAAGCAAGACTATGATTCTGCAGTTGGGAATATTTCATATCTAACAGCATAGCTGATAGCTAAAGGAAAACCTGCAGGATTATGGATTCTGACGTGCAGAATAAGGCTGTGATTGCTCTGAGCTTTTGGTAACCTGATCAACCCTGAGAATGAAGCTTTAGAAAGAGATTTACCGAGGTCACTGAAGCCCTCAAAGGCATTAAAGTCTCATGGGCATACTCTGGGCTTACTTTATTTCTTCTTTTATATCATCTTAATGCAACTTGGGAAAAATTTTAAAAAGAAATATGTCTTAGGGACAAGCTTGCCTCTTAAAAAGTATAAATAAAATTGCCTTATTTTTAAGGGGCTTGGAAAGCATTCTGTGAAATTTCAGGCATGAAAAGGAGATGATTATAGGCTAAAAGTCTAAACAATCCTTATCCAACTGATGTTTTAGGTGAATGAATAATATAAAAGTTTGAGTACATACTGCAAATAGCTCTGTAAATTACAAGTTATAGATGTAAGGCCTTTGAAAGTATATTTCTAATTTAAAAAAAATAGAACACAAAATGAAACACACAGAACTAGGCAGTGCTCTTTGGTATTAAATGAGTTAACTAATTACCTTTCAAATAGAATGATGAGATTTCCCTGTTCTTTTGAAAATACTGGAATATAACTTAAATATTTCAAGTTTACAAACGGGTTTTAATACGTTTTCTTCTTGTATGCTATGTTCTTTTGAATTTTGCACGTTTTAAAAAAACATTCCTTCCTCAGGTTTTAAATGCCTCCCCCCACCCCCAAAAGACATCTTCCTGCCATCAACACTGTTGCTAATGGATTTTGTTTATTTGTGCTTCTCGTCCTGGGAAGGGGTTTATGTTAGAAAGATTAGGACTCAGTTTGGAAGGATAAGAGACTGAGTGGGTCTACACTAGAAGGATATAAAACAATGAAGGCCTTGAATAGAGTGCAGATGGGCATATTTCCTAGAATCTAAAATATAGGAAGCAGCAAGCTTCCATCATCATGAATCCAGAGGCACCTCCTACAGGCCGGACACTAAGAAAGAAGATTTCTAAGAACAGTGACATGATCAACAACAAAAAATAATTTAGGAATTGAGTTAGAAAATTGATTTTTATATCTTAAATGGAGGCGATTAAGGAAAAAGAATTTTCATGAAAGAAGTTGGAGGTTTTATGGAAATTTTGGCAAAGACCTCTGGGCGTTTTTTTAGTGTATTAGAGGGTGTGGTTCTGTGTCATGGTTAACTGTTATTTAAAATACGGGCCTCTCCTTTTATTTAATAGAGGAAATCTCAAGTGTTGTTTTGTCTCTCACAGGTCACAATTAGGGTGTTTTTTCTGCTTGGAAGGAAGCGAACAGACAGGAATAGGGAGTGATCCAAATGGAGATTGTTCAGGGAGGGAGTAAGTGGGTAAGATTCAGAAGAGCAAAGGCAAGGGTGAAAGGGGAAAGTGGGGAAGCAGTGACGCGCAGCTGTGAGTATGGAGGGCGGAGGGAGGCAGGGAGGGCAAAGCTCACTGTCACACGCAAGGTATGCTGTGGATTCTGCATAACTCGGGAGCATCTGTGTATCCAGCATGACTGGATCAATCCCTAGGGAACATTCTGAGCTCAAGTGGCAGTGGGACCTGTAGTTGCCACACCCTCAGCTACCCGGGGCCGGGAAGCAACTAACTCTTCCTTTCCCAGTGTCTGCAGAGCATCCATGTGACAATCAGAAACCTGAATAAGTCTGCTCCCAAGTTACTAGAACATTTGTATCTTTTTTTTTTTAGATTCCACATATAAGTGATATCATATGATATTTGCCTTTCTATTTCAAATAATAGGATGATCTCTAGAACAAATCAAGAAAGGAGTGTTTCAGAAGTGCAGGTGATTGACTGCTCCCTGCTGGGCTGGTGGGTAGGTCCGTCCCATTCGTTCAGGGCACAGGTTCCTGCCGAGGATGCCCCGTGAGCCTGTTCTGTTGTTGGTGCTGTGGGCAAAGTAAGGCACAGGACAGGTAAGGTCCCTATGCTCCTGAGGCTTGTACTCCAAAGGAGGACACAGGCAATCATTAATACCTTTTAGAAATCAAAGGGTGAACCTGCTCTGTGATTCCAAGTATAGGACATTCGGGAGGAGGCAAAATGAGAGAGGCAGTAAAGAGATCAGCAGTGGCCAGAAGTTGCAGGGGAGGGGTGAGTGGTTGGAGCATAGTGGACTTTTAGGGCGGTGGACCTGTTCTGTGTGATACCGTAATGGTGACTATATGACACCATTGGGATTTGTCAGAACCCATAGAATGTACAGCACTAAGAGCCCGAATCTAGAGTCTAGACTTCAGTTAATGAGAACATAACCGTGTTGCTCCATTGTAACAAGTATGCCACACAAATGCAAGATGCTAGCAACGGGGGAAATTGTTGAGGGGGTTGTCAGGGGGCGTCGATGAGAACTCTGTGCTCTCTGCTCAAGTTTTCTGCAAACCTGAAACTACTCTTTAAAAAAATAAAGTTTATTAATTTTGTAAAAAATGAAAAGCATTAAGTGCTGTAAAGAGATAGCAGTGAGTGAGTGGAGCAGTCGGAGACACCGGAGACATGGAAATGGAGGGGAGAGTCTCCCTGAGGCAGAATAAGCCCCGCCTCTCTGGCTTCCAGAAGGGTGGGAGCTGAGTGTTTGGGGCACAGCTTTGATGTGATCTGCTTTGCGTATTTCAACGATCCCTGTCTCTTCTGGTGGAGAGTGTTTGGGGACAGAACATGGGGTGAAGTGTGGGTTCAGGAGGACCCTAGTGGCAGCTGTTGCTTTAGCCTAATGAGAAATATGATGGTAGCCCAGAGTAGGGAGTGGTAATGGAAATGGAGAGAAGTGAAGGATTGGGATTTATGTGCAGGTGGAACTGACCCAGACTTGCTGGGTACTGATTCTCTGGGTGGAAGAAAGAAAAAAAATTAAAGATGACTCCTAGGTTGTTCGGCTGGTTATCTGGGTGGTGATGCTTCCATGTCCTGGGAGAGGAATGCGTTGGCGATGGGGAGTTGTGAGAGAGAAGAAACACATTTGATCTGTATTCCCACAGTTCTTGAATAAATGGAAGAAAGTACTAGAATGATACATTTCAAACATCATCTTAAATTTTAATGTGAAAGGGTCACTTTAAAAAGTAAAAGGGGAACCTGCAGTGCATAGAAAGGAATTAATATTGAGAGGTAAGTAAAGAGGGATAGACAGGGTCAAGATGAAGTTACGTTTATCTGATACAACTTACCCACTGGCAAGTCAGCAGTTCTCATTTAGGGACTAGTCAAATGCGATTCTCTAAAGGACGCTTATCTTTGTATATTTCAAGTGTTTTTGATAATGATCTTGGTTCCAAGTAAGTGTTTCACTTGGATCTCTCAGTAATAGTTACACTCTCACTTTTGTGATTTTCAAACGTTAGAGTCCGGATTCTGTTTCCCATACTTTTGTCGATTCCACGGCGAAGGAAAAGCTCTAACTCAGAAT